ATTAAAATTTCTTTCAAAAGAATGGTTACTGAGCAAAGAATATTCTTTACGATAACCAGGTCTTCATCAGGTTCTACAGTTATATATACGTAATAGTGAGTGAATTAGTGTTATAAAGTACATTGATGTTGTTTTAATAACATCGAACCAATAATAATGATAATATCAATGGATTACACTTCGATAGCATCAACATAACAATGCACTGAATAAATATCTGAAAAATTAGAAAAGACAATAGTACAAATTCATGAATTTATAGTCTCCACTGAAGGCCAGGCTAGTATTAGTGGCTAGAATTGCTTCTTCTGCACACAGAGCACCAGTTGTTTCAGGCAAATTGCGATAGCCTCTGCAATTTGGAGTATACAGTACCTGGATGTTTTTTGCAATTTATTTGATACCCGGTAGATGAGAGAGAATGATTCATAAATGCTGGCTTAACGGCCAGTTTGTACCAGGTGGACTAATATCGAACTGTTGGTGGTTTTCACTGCACTTTTATTCAGCTACACAGGTAGGTATTCCCAAGCACGAAAAATCAAGTTCGAAGCTCTCTGATAACCTTTTATTCACCACCATTCAATGTGCACTTTGTTGGCAAGTAGAAGAACCTGTGGTTTGTAGACCAAAGCGCGAAATTGACCAATCGAATTTAATCAATGCTAGGCCGCAGATAACATGCTAATACTTACTGGTCTCCACTTTATTTATAAATATATATAATGGATTGAACTGCAAGTCCCATGATGTGTTCCCAAAGTTCTTAATTCTTTTGATCCCGAAATAACGGCTGCTAAGCCGTAATAATCTTACACATGGGTGAAACTTATTGAATACAAAACATAAACAGTGCCGTTCTCCATGAGTATATGCTTGAAGAAAGCACCTCGGCTGTTTATTCCCCGTTTCTGGACATTTCAAACAATATCTTCATTAGATTAGAAGCTACTTATTATGCTGTTTGCATCCAAAGAAGTTTAAATTAATCTCAGTGTGATGTTGTACATTTAGAGAGTAGCTAGCTGCTAATTATTATCATCCTAGAAACAAATCTCCAGTAAAATCCGTTTAGTCATCAAAGTGTATATTTGCGAATTAAGAGGCTTCGATTAGTGCAAGAGAAAATCAAGTACTCAAGGGGCAACATTTTTTCGAATGGTTTCTCTGTTTTCCGTTTACTAGAAAGTAACATGGAAAGCAGAGAAGTAAAACTGACTATTGGTAATCGTTTTCTTGCTGAGGTGCTTCATTCAATAATAATAATAATACTCACTGTCATTATTCGCTCTGGTTCCCAGTGAAATATATGCATTCAGCATCACATTTCTATTTCACTTCGTTTTGTGAAGTCCTTCTTTAACTGGATCCATGACTGTCTGTAAACGGTAATCTCCTCCTCACAAGATCTCCTACATATCACCCAACCTAGGAAGCCTAACCTGTCGTTACACATTCGGATCCCACTCGAGTGCCTGGTGTGTGATGTTACTCAACCGGTACCTCGACATGTGTCTAATCCATCCCCATTTGTGTTGAACAATTAGCTGTTTTGGGTTCGTTGACAGTCCCTTGTTGCTTAACCTTTCTGAACATCTGATCTTCAGTAATGAGCAAAGGCAGCTGTTATTCGAAATCTGCAGTCTGTTGTGAACGACTTCAGTGACACGCCAACTTTCTGAACCATATAGAAGCATCGATTTGAAATTTGTGTTAAAGATCCGAATCTTGTATTTTATGCCGAGTGCAGTGGGTTGCTACGATGATTCCATATCAGTGAAAGTCTGTCCTGCCTTTACGATCCTGACCTGATTAGTTAGATTGACCACTGACTGACATCAGTTTAAAAAAACTCATTGAAAACGAGAAGGGAGTACTGGACAGCTTTTCATTCTTGTTCAGGGCTCATCAGAAGTACGCACGTGCGGTGGATTCCACCCGGTAGATAAAGAGAACAAATACTAGCTGATAACGTTGGTTAGTGGTCGCGCCAAAATCAGGACTTAATAGAAGTTAGAATATATGGGCTATGGAATCGAATCCCAGTGACTGAATGTTGCACTAGCTTGCCTAAACGATAGCGATCCGTGTTGAAGCTTGAAGGAAATAAAATCACTACAGACTAAGTCTTGAAAATCAATTACTTATCTTAATTTAAGCTACTCGGGGTTTAAATATGTGTGTGGTGTGCAAATAAAAAAATAGTATTCAAGTGTTGGTTTCTAGGGATTTGATTGGTTACAGGATTTCATCATGAGCTGACATTAGTTAGAGAAGCATTGGAAAACCTGCAGGGAGTAATGGACAGCCATTTCGTCCTAATTTGGGACTCTTCACAGTACGCACCCACCAAAAGGGTTCGAACCCAGGACCTTCTGGAATCAAGGCGAGCGGGCTCGTATACCATTAAGCTACTGGGACCCGATCCAATGGCCAACCTATGAATTCCAACCTCTGCCAATTCACGACATATCGCGATCCCTAGCCAATGTCTTCGTTGAGCATTTGTCCTCACACTTGACCTGCTGCACCCTACTTGTCACAACTTCTCACTAGAACCCCAGGTAAGGGGGTTTAAAGGGTATAAAAAAAAGGGTATAAAGGACAAGAAATCCTTTAATTATTCTTTAAAGTGACAATGACACTGAAGATAATTTACTCCCAATGTCCACAGCTATCTGAAGTTTGTAACTGAGTTCTTCTATAGGATGACCAACTTGTTAATTCTATTGATATCCTAAAATAAAAGTTTTGTGAGCAGATCAGATATCGAGATATGAATTCCCTTTTTTTGATGGAACCATAACTTAAGGTTATTTACCGACATTCTATTCAGTAAGGATTTTTACTGTGTTCATGTGTGAAAGTTACTGACTTCAAATGACACTTTCCTTCGCTGGCTTATGAGAAGATGATTTGCTTTGTTCATAGCTGGTTATCATAACAATAACTTCACAAGCCTTGAAAAATACAGAACACATCAAGAGGTTTTTTGTTCTAATTCTTATAACGTTTTATTATTAATGAATGCTCTGAATATTCATCTTCAAGTTGTTTCGTGAGTTTACATAAGGTAATCGATGGATGTTCCTTAATAACAATGAACTGTTAACCTACAAGATTTCTACACCCTTAATGTTGCTTATTACCCTCTTAACTCAAGTGTTTTTAGAAACCTTCTTTGTCCAAAGCATTTTATCAGAAAAGAAAGGAAATTTAGTAAATATTTGTCATTAATAGATATCAACTATTAGCTACAATTCAATTTGCACTCTCCCGTTTTTTGACTGGATTGATGTGCTCGGCGTCAAGTTGACATGTTGGCTGCTTGTGCAGATGGTTCGACTATGTCTGATTACTTAACTTGAAGTGAATCGGTAGATAGTGACTAGCAGTGGATGAAATCCAGGATAAAGCGCATTTCGTCCTACTTGGGACTCGTCATCTGGATGTACCTGCATTCCCCAATGAGTCAGTGAGTGATGGTGTTCCCACCGAGGCTCGAACCAGTAGCCATAGTTTCATAGGTCAAAGTGTTATCCAATAGACCACTTGGGTCGACATGTCAATCTGAGGCCGAGCACTTCTGTCCGATCAATCAACAGGAAAGTGCAAAGTGGATTATAAATAATTTAATTGAACTGTCGTCAAGACTTGACAGAATAGTTTTAAAATATTTGAGCTGCAGTAGGTCGAATTAAGCAGCTCAATCTTCAAAAAGAAGACAAAGCAATAAGTTCCACAGGGTGCTTCTACTAAACTCTAATCTTAAACACCATTATTTTGAAAATACGTCTAATCATAAAATTCTAGATACTAACAGTTTGAGCAGACATGAAGGCGTGATGTTAGCTGACGCATAGGAAATTCTTATTATCAAGTATTGGTTTGGTAGGGATAAATAAAATGGATATGTATCACTAATTATTAATACTTGATCAAAATTCTCGACTGTCTATATCTTCTTATGGAGACGTTAAGAAATGTTGTACAACTGTTTACCCACACACACATACACACTCTGTTTAAATTGTTTAACAAAGGTAGACCAATATTTGTAAGTCTGAGGTCAAATTTTGATCACAGTTCATACAATTTTGTTTATTATACTTGTTGAATGACTCATGAGTGGACAAACGTTTTAAAAACAAGTGATGTTCCTTTTATATATAAACCTCTGTTATGTTAATTCCGATTAATTTCCCTGAAGAAGTTCGGACCAGATTGCCTAACGAAACGTTGGAATTACTCATTTCAATCTGGCTGAGATTTTACAAATATAAGTTTTTGTAAATGAATTATAAATAGTTACTGATACACTCGTTGCACACGAAAGAGCTGGCTTTCGTGGCTCAATTGGTCAAATGGATAGTGCTTTGGCGTTTGAAACTATGGGTACTGGGTTCGAGTCTCGGTGGGAAAACCATCACTCACTGACTGGAGAATGTAGATACATCTAGCTGACGAGTCCTGAATAGGACTGAATGCGCATCCTTGATTCGACTGCTAGTCACCATCCACCACCAATTCACTTCAAGATAAACTATTAGCGTTGCTCTGATGATATTAGATAGTTGGAGGCAATCGGAAGGAAGCCTTGGACCTACGTTTCGTGCTAGTTGGCACTCATCAGCAAGGCGTATCTGCAGCCTTGAAGGAACTCATGTCCCTTATGAGATTCGAACCCGCGTTCCTCTGTAGTGCTGCAATCAGAGACGTTACAACTGAGCTATTCGGGCTGCCGATTGCCTCCAACTATCTAATAGCATCAAATCAATGTGCACCGTGATGGCGAGCTACTTAGAATGGTGGCCACATTGCAAATACCTGACTGATAGAATTCAGTCTGCATGAAAGAAAGGACTAGACACATAACACTAGTTACTAGTGTCCAATCAAAAATTAGCGTTGCTCGTTTAACAGATGGTATTATGAAGTCTTATAAATATCAAGTTTCTTATCCAGCCTTATTTGTTTTTGTTTTATTTTTTAATTTTTAGCAGAATAAATTACAACCTGGAAGACGAACAAGAAATTGATCATTTTACTGCAGATGAAATATTTCATCCAGTTACAGATTCAGCCATAGAGACAGAAAGACTTGTCATCAATGTAAGCGGTTTACGTTTTGAAACACAAGTACGCACTGTAAGTCAATTTCCCGATACCTTATTAGGTAATCCGAATAAACGTAACCATTATTATGATCCATTGAGAAATGAATATTTTTTCGACAGAAATCGATCAAGTTTTGACGGGATCTTATATTTTTATCAAAGTGGTGGTAGACTTCGACGACCAGTCAATGTACCGATTGATGTATTCAATGAAGAAATAAAATTCTATGAACTTGGTGATGAAGCTTTAGCTAAATATCGTGAAGAGGAAGGATTCATCAAAGAAGAACCGAAAGTGTTACCAAGAAATCGTTTTCAACGTAAAGTATGGCTGCTGTTTGAATATCCAGAAAGTTCATTAGCTGCTCGTATACTGGCTATTGGTTCAGTATTTGTAATACTTTTGTCAATTATAATTTTTTGCTTGGAAACTTTACCACATTTTCGTAGATACAGAATAATGAATCACTTTAATTCTACAATTTATGATGAAGAAGTCATTTTTGTCGAGGATGATTTACCAACGATTGATCAACCATTTTTTATTATTGAAACATTTTGTATAGTGTGGTTCAGTTGTGAATTGTTGATACGTTTTGCATCATCGCCAAAAAAGTTGGCATTTTTTAAAGTTATCATGAATGTCATCGATGTTGTCTCTATTATCCCTTATTTCATTACTGTTGGCACTGTTATTATTGATGATCCAAAACAACGTAATCAAACCACATCATTAGCTGTGCTAAGAGTCATCCGTCTTGTTCGTGTTTTTCGTATATTCAAGCTATCAAGACATTCAAAAGGGCTGCAGATTTTAGGGCAGACATTGAGAGCTAGTGTTCGAGAGCTAGGCCTGCTTGTCTTCTTCTTGCTTATCTGTGTTATCCTGTTCTCATCAGCTGTTTATTTCGCTGAAGCTGATGATGACACTTCGTTATTTCGTAGTATACCAGATGGATTTTGGTGGGCTGTTGTCACAATGACCACAGTGGGTTATGGTGATATGCGACCAGTGACCGTGTGTGGAAAGCTGATTGGCTCTTTGTGTGCTATAGCTGGTGTATTAACGATTGCATTACCTGTACCGGTTATTGTATCAAACTTTAACTACTTTTATCATCGTGAAACTGAATCCGATGAAAATTCGCATTCTGTTACTTCGTCAATGGAAAGTGACGCCGATGATGGCGGTGATTATGATGGTGAAGAAAAGCAGAAACATACGCGATTTAAAGATATCTCTCACCATATGAATAATAAAACACAAAAAACAGTTATTCATAAAGACAGTAATATAAGTAATCCGTATGATATAACACCACCACCACCACCACCACATGTTGCCTTGAAACAAAATTCTATTTCACCGAAAAAGTCAACACCATCAACATTTTTCTAGTTCATAGCGCACAATGATCGCATCATTCAACTGATTTTCTAATTTTATCCGCCATCTGTAATATTTCTGTAAACTTTAGAGATTATGCTCAAAGACTGAAACGCATGCAAAGCAATTATTGTTTTATTTACTACATATATATTTATGTGTATAAATACATCTTTACATTTTATCTTCAGAAAACATCTCTGCATCGCAAAGTGATGATAACTGTAAAACTGATTGCAGGTATCTTATTGCTGGAACATTTCACTACTTTCCTTGGTATTTAACACCTGTGTATACTAATAAAAAACAGCTACCTATAAGTAGTGGTAATAGAGAGACAATATGCTGTAACTAAGATCACTAAGACCGGTTGACTGATGCATAGTCAAGGCAGTAATTTCTACCATTTCTAATCCTTGTATCAATGATTAACAAGCACAAACATATACATATATATGCAAAACAAATATTTTTAATAAAACACTTATTTCATTAGAGTCCGTTTATTAAATCTATTTTTTCGCTTCTTCTTGATTCATCTCGTCGAAGAACAGTAATAAAGACACCAATGGTGTTTTGTTTTCTGTCACAGACAAACTTTTAATTTTAAAAAGAAGTACTGTCAAACACACACACCAAATAAAAGTAAGGCATCTGTAAAAATAACACACTCATTTTGAGGTAAGTCCTACTTAGAAAAACAAACACTTTCTATTGACTCTTTTATCCCATATATATGAGATGTACTGCTACCTATTTGAGTACTGTAAGAAAATATTTTTCTGTATCTTGTGTGCATTTATATATGTTTTATCAAAATAGAACTTTCATTTCAAAAAAATAAAAGATTTTATTGTTCATACTTCTATATTTGTTGTGTGTTTTCTTGAATGATTTTGATGCACAAGTGTTTAATGTGAACACTTATGAAATGATTGATAAAAATACTGAGAAACTGTCGCTGTTTTTAAAAGCTGAAGTGCGGAAATAACTCAGCATACACGTCAGTATGGTATTGAGTTTAATGGTAAGGTGTAAATTACTTGATGACTCTAAACTATACAAGCCCAAACCGAAAATACTTGGCGAATGGATAAATGACCTTGAGCAACCAATCAGGTGAATGCATATTGTACAGGCGTACTTGTGGATGCTGTACATCTTTTGCGTTGCAAATTCGCTCCAGATCTTGTTTTTGATTACTGTTTGGAAAACAAACTGATAGGAAGGTCGAAAAAGTGTGAATCGAGAGGGGTGTCATGTATTTACAAAGATATACTAGATGCATTGATGGATTTGTTTACAGGTGTGATGAGTGCCGAACCAGAAAGTCAGTTCGAGAAGGTATGCCGTTCTTTTTTAGTTTACAGATTCCATAGGTACTTTTTTCGCCAAGTCTAAATTACCTGTATCGAAAATTTTAGTGATGTGTCATAACTGGGTGCTTAAGAGATCAGTAACAGCAACAGCGTTTGAATCGGAAAATTCAGAAGTATCTACGGTGCAATAGTACCAGTACTGCAGAGACATAACATCATGGAAAATGAACAGACTGACTCAGGTACTTGGCGGCGTTGGCGTCATTGTTCATGTGGATGAGACAGTGCTTATAAAAAAAAAATATAATCGAGGCAGATTGAGTGCGAATCAGCAGTGGGTGTTGGGGATATATGACACTACGCTCCACAAAGGATACATTAAGACGATCAATAATGGCAGTGCTAGTGCCTTATTGCCTACTGTACAACGCTTAGTGATGCCTGGAACAACTATTCATACAGATGAGTGGAGTAGTTATAGTCAGCTACCAACCCTGAGTTATATTCATCACTTCGTCTACCATACAAATGGTTTTATCAGTCCTTTCGATGGAACTCACATTGATTCCATCGAAAACTTTTGGAGTCGCCTCAAAAAACGGATCACATCTGTGAATGGATCAAGAAATGCAATGATATACAGTTATCTCGATGAGTTTATGTACAGGGCTTAGTTTAACATAACTGTGAAGACTCCTATGCGAAACTGGAAGGTTTTTTCAGAATATATACGAGAACGTTATCCTTTGTAGCTATTTTTTAACATTGCATTACTTTTATGTAAACGTTTTATTCAAGTTATGCGCTGTTTCTATAGAGGCGTCTGATTGGTCAAAGTTGCCGTTGTGAAGGTCATTTATCCTTTCGCTAGGTAGTTTCGGTTTGGGCTGCTATAGTTTAGAGTCGCCTAATTCCCTTAGGTTCTGAGTAGGACATATGGCTTCAGTAGTACATATCCGTTTAATCTTGTTCTCTGAAGTCCTCTTTAGCCGGCTACATGTTTGTCCAAATTCTCTCATCACCTCGTCGTACGATCTGTTGCATATCATCCTCGGATACTCAGTTAGTTTTTCATTCAAGTTCCTCTCAAGGTTCTGGTTATCACGCAGTGATCTTCTTAGCATGTGTCATTACCATCTAGATTTTCTTTGACACATTTGTTGGTTCCTGGCTGATTCACTACTCGCCACACTCTCTTGTTGCTAATCCTTTCTTGATGGCCATGTGATTTTTAGTGCGGAGCCAACAAAGATAACTGTTAGTGAAAGTGTGCATCAGGTTGGAAATGCCTCTGGTGACGCGCCAAGTTTCTGAGTCAAAAATAAGAGCTGATTTCACAGTGGCGTTGAAAATACGAATCTTGTTCTTTATGCTCATTGCAGTAGACTTCCAGACTGATTTCAGAGTACTGAATGTTTTTGTTGTCTTTCGGATCCCGGCCATGATATCTTCATCCGTGACGCCTGTAGACTGAATCTCCTTCACACACCAAAACCAAGCACTCACTATTAAAATATTTATTTTACTACGCTAAAAAACGGCAGTATAAAATTCACTGACGTAAATTGCATAGGTGAACGATAATGATATTACTGTAAGTTAAATTAAGGTAGGAAAAATAACGTGTAAATAGAGTTTAGGTTATTCTCAAGAGTTGGTTTGTAATGATTAGATTTGTTCTTTTGTTTTTATGAGTTTGATCACAAATTGATATCAGTTAGAGAACCAATGAAAACCAGGGAGTACTGGACAGTTGTTTCATCCTAGTTTCTAGGAATCATTGGCGGAACGCATCTACTGCCAGAGTTCGAACCCAGGACCTTCCGGTTACAAGCAAGCAAGCTTGTATACCATTCATTCACTGGGACCCGCTCAATTCAATGGCCAACCCATGGATTCTAACTTCTACCAATTCGTGATTTAGCGCGACTCCAACCGCTTGACTGGATGGATCTCAATGGTCACGACTTCTCACTAGAAAGCCAGGAAACTTCATCCTGCAGCAAGTCACTAGCGAGCATCAGATTAATTTTCTATAGTTTGTTTGTGAGGATTAGATTTATTTCGACAAGCTTGACCACGAATTGATCTCAAGTGTGAGGATGGATGTTCCACCGATGACATTGGTTGGTGGTCGCGCTAAATCACGAACTAGTAGAAGTTAGAATTCATGAGTTGGCCAGTGAATCGGGTCCCAGTGGCTGAATGGTATACGAGCTTGCTTGCTTGTAACCGGAAGGTCCTGGGTTCGAAACTTGGCAGTGGGTGAGTACTGATGCTGAAACCCAAAACTAATATTTATATTCACCGAAATCGTCGTTGCTTATGATATGCAGAAGAATACATACATAATGTCTCTAATGCAGACTAATTTATAATAGACAGTGGAAAATTCTATCACACCATAGTTACAAACAATGTGTCTGAGTTTTCATTAATCACAGTTTCAAGTACAGCAACACGTCTTTGACAAGAGGAACCACCTATGTGTAAGTTTGATCCGAAAGTACATCTAATATATGAAGTAAAGAAGTACTTTAACCTCCAACCATCTTTTCTTTTCTTATGAAAACATTATCATACTGTGTTATCCACCGAAAAGGAGTAGAAATGTAGAACAGCTTATTACAATTACATGTTAGACATTGACATTCTAATGAATTCAGTATAAAATGTGTATCGGTAAACAGACGTCTTTCTAGTCTCTAGTATTAAAAAAGAGCATTCCCTGCTGCTGAATTACTCTGTCTTTAAAACCACCCACCTATATTTTGTGTTCGGGAGTAAAAGACAAACTGCCTAATTTCACCTCTTCCATGTGTATCTACCAATTTAACTGCTTCTGTTGAACCAGTCACACAGGCCTTACAATTAGGCATGTTTCTCGTCGAATTTCCGAAAATCACCCTGCCACCTGGTTAAGTAAAGGACAAACAAAATCTATTCGGAGTGCTATTCTATCTCATCTTGTGGATACAGAACACAAGACTGATGTTACCAAGATGGCTTTCAAAGTCGTCTACTGCATAACAACAAATCTTAACTTCGACTTAAGAGTTCGATTACTAAATATTGCTTAGGCTGGCCATTGAGATCCACATTATGAAGCTTAATTTATATGTCCAAAGGAAGTTGGCCATCTAGGTTCAAATGATCCTCAGTGTTTGTAGAAATTTCCCTATTTTTAGTTGATATTCTATTTGCTCTTGTATCCTTATTATTATTATTATTATAATTTAAGCATCTTTAATGAACTGTAATTCCATTGTGATCTTACTTAACAAATCGATATTATTTAAAAAACACTAATATTGTTATTGAATACTGTTCTAGAATATTCTATGTATGTAAACATATATATAATTATAAGGCCAGAAAATAAGTAACATAGGGAAATTTTATGGTTGTCGCACCTCTGTTCACACTGAACTTCAGGTGATCACTATCTGTAGGAAGCACTATTTATAGAACAATTCCCTCTGCTTCTCCTTCGCTTTAATACTCCAGTATATTCAAAATTTGAAACGAACACAATTAACTCAGGCTTTGTCAGAATCAGCAAGTCAATGTTTGCTGTAAATCCACTCATTAGAAAGTAATAACAATATTTTATATTCAGAACAAACTGTTTCTTTCATTGTAAACACTTAAAACTGAAATAATTTGCATAAAAAGGTTGTTCATTTAAACGAAACTATGCATTTAAAAGGCGTCAACATTAACTAATGTGCACTATTATGTAACCATATATATTTACATTTATGAAAAACCACCTGGTGATGGTATTTTCCTAACATCCACTTTATTTACATATGCGATGTCCATGTGGAATCTTATTTACTCAGTAAAACATGAAATCGACTTATACTACAAATCCGGAATTCACTCAAGTAGCGACATATTGATGTTTGATGAAGTATATAACAAAGCAAGAACTACAGTTTTATCAGAATAAAGTGGTACCTTCATTTATTCCGTTGGCTTCTCATCAGCTCAGCTACTTACAGGCCACAGTCATTATTAAGTAGTATATCTACAGGAACAATTTTAACATACTTGCACAGAGTTCATTTTAAACAAAAATCAGTCGATCAGTATATGCATACAGTAATAATATATACATG